TAGCGTAAAATTTTATTAAGATAATAGTAATTCTTTCTCAAGCAAAAATGTTCCTAACTTGATTTTAAACTAGTTAAGCTCAAAAAAAAAATTTTGAAAATTTTTCAATTTGGTCCCTTTTCTCAGCACCTAGCCCATATAGTTATAGAAAAAAAAGTAAAAATTTACTAAAAACAATTTGTTAACACCCAATCCGATAGATATAGTTATTTTTCACGTGCCCGCATCTCTGTGCGGATCCAATCAAATTACTTGACTTTTTGAAATAACCCGCACTGATGAAAAATAATCTCAAATCTAATGATTAAAAAAATTGATATCTAAACATACAGTATAAATATTTTATCTTAAAAATTGGGGTTACCAAATATATAGATTAAATATAAGGCAGTCTACTTGGCGTAGTTTGATCGATTATAATGGCTAGTTAAAAATAGAATTACTCTCGTTATATACTCTACTCCGTAATACTCCGGATACGCCTCAATTGTGGATCGTCTTTAAACTTTACATTCTTATGGCCCTTGAAAATTTGGTTTGCGTTGGGATTTTTGAAATTGAACAAAATAAGCATCCACTATCATATTAATTTTTACTATATATTATTGTAGAGTAGGTTATACAAAAATAAATTTAAACTATTGGTATATAGTAGAAAATTTGGAACTTCAAAAGAATGAAAAGATAAGGTTTTATAATCACATTTCTAATCACAACATATTTATAACAAATTTAGGAATGTCACTACTTATCATTATCACAATTGCGTATTAGATCAAAAGAATGTCGTAGAATGAGCTGGAACCTCGAGATTGTTCCCGATGTTTTTTTTTATTGGTTGGATCAACTTTCCTATAAAAGTTATTTAAAAGCGAAAAATCATGATATTATAGCTGCAGTCTTTTTTTCTTTCCATTCGAAATAAAGTTTTTATAATGTCCGTCGTAGGTACGTAGATACACAATGATTATTATATAATTAACTTCCACCACGAAAATCTTGATTTATTTTAATTTATTTTAGGCATTGACTTTGGCACCCTTCAATCCAAGATTGCTGTAGCACGTAATCGTGGTATTGATGTTATTTGTAATGAGGTTTCGAACCGAACTACACCGTACGTAACATTTAATTACACGTTACTGCGGCATATATGATAATTCTCGAGATCTAAAATAACATGCTCGCGACTATTTAGGTCTTTAGTTTCTTTTGGTCCTAAAAATAGATATTTGGGAGAAGCAGCCAAAACTCAAGAGATCTCCAATTTCAAGAATACAGTTGGATCTTTAAAACGACTCGTTTGTTACTCATTTCAAGACAGTGAACTTCATGAAGTTGAAAAACTGTATGTTAATGCAGAATTGGTAGACGAAAATGGTCAAGTTGCTGTCAAGGTACGCCAATTTTTTACATTAGCTGATGATTTCATAATTGATCCTCTTAATACGCGTTTTGACATTGGATTTTTTGAATCGCTAATTCATATGATAACCAAAGCTTATGGCAACTAATTTACGATTTTTTCTTCTTTTATTGAAATAGGTTCAATATCAAGGCGAGCAACGCGTATTTACTGCTACGCAATTGGTTGCTATGTATTTTACCAAACTTAAGGATATCACTTCCGCGGAGCTTAAGATTCCAATTTCTGATGTTGTAATTTCGGTTCCTGGCTGGTTCACAGATTCACAACGTCATAGAATTCTCGATGCAGCTGAAGTCGCTGGCTTAAACTGTTTGCGCTTGATAAATGATACGAGTGCGGCAGCTTTAGGTTATGGCATTACAAAGACTGACTTGCCCGAGGACAAAGAAAAACCTCGCAATGTCGTGTTTGTAGACATTGGTTATTCCGGTTATAGCGTGGCAATTGTTTCCTTTATCAAGGGACAATTGACAGTCAAGTCCACTGCTTACGATAGGCATCTTGGTGGACGAAACTTTGACCAGGTTTTAATTGACCATTTGGCCGAATTATTTAAGGAAAAATATAAGATTGACATAAAATCAAATCCGAGAGCACTTTTTCGCCTTCGTACAGCTGTAGAAAAATTGAAAAAAGTTCTTTCAGCAAATGCTCAAGCACCAATTAATGTAGAGTCAATAATGAATGATATTGACGTTAGTGCTATTCTTTCTCGTGAAGAATTTGAAAAACTGAGTGAACATCTTCTCAACCGTATAGAGGCACCACTTGCACAAGCATTTCGTGAATCGGGGCTTTCTTTAGAAGATATTCACTCGGTTGAAGTAGTTGGTGGATCAACACGCATTCCAGCTGTCAAAGAAAGAATATCAAAATTCTTTGGTCAAGAACTCAAATATACTCTTAATCAAGACGAAGCAGTTGCTCGTGGAAGTGCACTTCAATGTGCTATCCTCTCACCGGTATTCAAAGTTCGCGAATTTAGTGTCCAAGATGTTACTCCTTATCCTATTAAAATTACATGGAACAAAATACCAGAAATTCCTGATGAAGAATCTGAACTTGTCGTGTTTCAAAAATCAAACAACGTTCCGTCTACAAAAATCTTGACATTTTATCGAAAAGAACCATTTGAAATTGAAGCTCATTATTCTGAACCAGATAAAACTCCGAGTTCTAATCCTTGGATTGGCAGATTTTCCATTAACCGAGTAACACCTACAGAAAAAGGAGATTTGAGTATAGTTAGAGTCAAGGCTAGACTTAATATGCATGGAATACTTTCTGTGGATAATGCTCATGTTGTAGAAGAAGTAATTAAGGAAGAAAAAGAAGAAGCAACAAATGCAACAAATGTAACCAATGCACAAAATGCCACCAATGCGCAAAATGCCACCGATGCATCAAATGCACAAAATGTACAAAATGTACAAAATGCAGCGAATGAACCACAACCGATGGATACTGATAGTACACCTTCAGAAAATGCCAAGCCAAGTCCTGTCAAGAAAGTGAAAAAGCTTGTAAAGAAGGCAGATTTACCGATCAATTCTTGTCATAATGGATTAGAAAAATCGGCTATCACACAATATAGAGAACTAGAAGCGCAAATGATTGTATCTGATAAACTTGTGGCTGATACAGAGACACAAAAGAATGCACTTGAAGAATACGTTTATGATACGCGGTCCAAAGTGGAGACGACCTATAGTGATTATGTTAATCCTAATGATAAAGATAGCTTTCTTCAACTTCTTAATAATACCGAAAACTGGCTTTATGATGAAGGGGAAGATGCTAGTAAATCGGTATACGTTGAAAAACTTGACCAATTGAAAACTGTTGGAGGACCTATCGCTGAACGATATCGTGAAGCAGAAGAACGACCCAAAGCCGTACAATTATTACAAGAAAGTATACAATCATTTATTCTTAATGCATCTAGTAATGAAGAAAGATTTTCACATATTCCTGAAGAAGAAAAGAAGAGCATTGTGGAAAAAGCAACAAAAACATCGGATTGGTTAAATGAAAAATTGAAAGCGCAGGAAAGTTTGCCAAAATATGAAGCGCCAGCGGTTCTATGTCGAGAAATTTATAAGGAGCGAGAGGTTAGTTAACAATCTGTCCAAAGATTTACACAATGCATAATTAAATCATACTGAAATGTATATGCCTTCAATTTATACAGAATTTAGTACATTTTGCATCTCCAATCTTGTCAAAACCGAAACCAAAACCCGAACCTAAACCTGAAGAACCCAAACCTGAAGAACCCAAACCTGAAGAACCCAAACCTGAAGAACCTAAACCTGAAGAGCCTAAAACTAAAGAGTCTAAAACTGAAGAGCCTAAAACCGAAGAACCCAATTCTAAAGAGCCCAATACTGAAGAAACTGTGATTGAAGAAATTTCAATGACGGAGAGTGTTACTATAGATGTTCAAAACACAGATAAACCTAAAAGTGATAACAAAGATGAGAGTAGTGGAGACACGATGGCAGTTGATTAATAATGATTATTAAAACATTTTTTATATTACATGTCCGTGGGTTTGCTAGACTTTTAATTTTATTTAGAACAATTGTACCTTTTTTATAATCATGTTATGCATAAATTGTAACGTGATTTTATTTACTTTACATTCTTGCATTGATTTAAAAAATTGTATACAACAATAAAATAGATGTTGCTTAATACTAAATTAATGTATGTTAGGAGATGTTAATTTATCATCTTTACTGTGATTAGCTCCTAGCGAAGATAATTATTCAATCTTTAGCAATTGTTTATATAATATTTATTATGACAAAATGGTATTATCGTTATTGTTCAATCGCATGCATGTTTTTAGATCTTTTACATATCAATCATATCAGATATACAGTACAATGTCGATCTTCGAGATATATATCCGATCCAAAACGGCGATAATGTATCTTAAACATTTTCTACAGGGGGATCCCCAAAATTCCGGGTCGTAATGCGTAATGGCCGGAACGCGTCGTGGTTAGGGTCGTGGTTAGGGCTGAGTTAGAGTTAGATGAAGCTATAGGCTATAATAAAATTATCAGCTGGGCACTTTTCACTTAATGAACGACTGTTGTTTCATTAGTAAAATTCTTAGTGATCTTGGGGCAAAATTGATCAACCCGGCCCTTCCGACCAGAGTTCCGAAGTTTCCGACCCGGAATGTTTGGGATCCCCCTGTAGGAGTTCTGTGTACTAACCTTGTGTTAAATAAATAAACGTGAACGTTGTATGGAATTTTTGAGCACAGTATCACTGACGTTTCTGTGAGCAAAAAAAAAATGTTGCAAGCAAACGAAAATCACGAAAAGATGTTTATTTGATTTGAGTTTATATTATTAATTTCAGATTGTCAGATCTTAGATAAAATTGTGTAATAATAATCATAAGTTAAAGAATGCAATATTAAATTTTCCTTATTTAAATGATTTGTTACATACGTAGTCAGATAAATCGAATATATTTTAAAATGATTGGACCGCAACGAAGAATATTTGATTGGCTAATTATTGCATGGCCTACATATATGAATATTTTTATTCGAATTCTCGACACTTTAGTATCTTTTTGATATAATATATAAAAAAAAAAAAATGGGTGCCACGTTTTCGTCCACAAAACAAAAGCCTGTTGATTTTGAACGTCTATTAGGTTATAAAACCGCTGCTATCTCCTTACCACCAGAATGTCTTCGCGAAATCTTTGAATATCTTGATAAAGGCTCTCTTTATTCTTCTCTTTTGGTTAATAGAAGTTGGTGTAAAGTCGTTGTTCCTTTATTATGGAGGTCACCTTTTCGAACAGCAAACGGACCGTCACTTGAAACAGCCAAAGTCATACAAACTTACCTTATATGCCTTTGTGAAAAATCAAAAGCATATTTAGTTAGTAATGGTGTAAAATTACCACTTTCAACAACCAAAATTTTTGATTATCCGTCTTTCCTTCGTGAACTAAAATTTGTAGAGTTATATAGTGCAGTGTCTGATTGGCTTGCAACAGAGTCTAATAATATTGGTGATGAACAACAATCAACTTTTTTAAGGGTTTTAATTACTGAACAATTATTTAAATTGTTCATGAATAGATGCCCAACATTTGAAATTCTTTCATTATCAGATTTATCTAATGAGGCACCTATGCCATTGGTACCTCTTTTAGCAGGATCTGGAGCTGATTCTTGTTTAATTGGACTTAAATCATTTCATTGTGTAAGTAAACACGGTGGTAAAAGAGATATTTTTCGAGTCATGTCTCAAGTGTCAGAAACTCTTGAAACCATGTGGGTTGGTGGAGTTGAACAAGATATGGAAGTTAAAGCTTTAAGTGTCTTTATAAGAGCACAAAAAAGATTAAAAGCTTTTAAATATTCATGGGATTATCAAACTCGACTTCAAATTATTTTAATTGGAACGCTTGATGCACTTAGAACACAAGCAAAAACTTTAACAACACTTCATTTTGAATATTGCAATTTCGCACATTGTGATTCATTAGAACCGTTAGCAGTATGTGAAAATTTGGAAATTATTCAATTTATACAATGCATATATTTAGCAGAAAAGATGCGACCTTTAGCAAAAGTATTTTTCCCACGTTTAAAGACACTCGGTTTCTATTGTAATTTTTTAGATTCAGCAAGATATTGGATAGATCCAAGTGATATTGCAGCAATTGTTAAAAATTCGCATAAAAGTTTAGAGCATGTCGTATTACCAAGAGTTGGAAATTATGAAGAAGGATCACAAACTTTAATAAAAGCACTTCGTCATTGTATAAATATTATTGATTTACGGTTACAAATTCGTCAAGGAGAAACGGAAGATTTTATGAAATTCTTCAATAATAATAATAGACTTGAAATAACAACATTCATTTGTCATGGTGATTTAAATGTTGAAGAATTATTAACGCAAATGAGTCGTAGATGGCCGAATACATTGTCAACCCTAAATATTAAAGGACAATGGATGATTACACCTGAATCTTTAAAAACATTTCTCAAAGATAGTAAATCTTGTTTAAAACATTTAGATTTACATTCATCTAATCATTTAACAGATGATCATGTTGCAGCAGTTATTGAATATTTAAAAGATATGAAAGCAGCAAAAAAACCTCATTTATGTAGTATTTTTATGTCTGGTGATCGAATAACAGAGAAGCGAGGTTTTAATTTAAATCCCTGGATTTAAATAATTTATTCATGTGAACTCTTAATATTAGGAGATTTTCTAAATCTACTTAAATTATCGGGATTGATCTAATTAATTGTAAAATTTCATTTTAATTCTTTTTAAAAGCCGAAAAAAAAAAGGTGTTAAAAGTATTGTATATTGAGTAATTATCTATTTATGTTTTTATTTTTGGCTTTTATTTAATTTAGTAACTTCAATAGGTAGTTTTATTTTTGGAGATTGATTTTTCGGTATTGTAAAATTAAAAATTAAGCTGAATTACTATTCTGTGTATATGTTTAAAGAAAAAAAAAAAAGAAAAAAAAAGAGATAGAATGTATACTTTTTTTATAGACTGTACAGTTTGTACAAATCTGATATTGTTTAAGCAATCAGATACACATTTACAAAATTTTTGTTTATATGTTAGTTTATTGTTTGTCAAAAAAAGAAAAAGAAATTAATATTATATTTTAATTAATTAATCTAATAAATATATATATATATTTACAATAGTTTTACAATAGTTTAAACAGTGTTTAAACATATGTATCATTTACGTACTGTACATACAGTATAACAGATAACAAGTATAACAAGAGTATATTTGAACTTAGTTTCATACAAATTATATGTAAAAACAGTTTAAGGCAGTTTTTTTGCTATATACATATATAATTAGTAAGATCGTACGTATGCATATTTGAGTTAAAAAAATAAAATACTATATAACTTACAAAATTAACCAGATGTGATAATAAAATTAACTTTGAAAAAGATAAATTTCGTGAATTTTATTTTAACATACATAAACTGTATTAATTTTTCACACTTCGTTTTTTCATGATAAACGCAAATACATAATGACGTACACGTAATTATGTATGATACTAGATTTGATATGACATAATACGTGTCATTAAACTCCGTTGCACCGATAGAAGCGCGGTGATGTATGTACGTACGTACGACCATCAACACGGGCTATCATTGGACATCTCCACTATTCTAAAACTAAAGGTGATCGGAATAATAAAATACTAATACTTTTGACATAATTCTCTGCTTACAATATCTGAATGTTGCTGTATTGAGGACGGGAAGTAACGATCTATGCGATCTTATGTATTTGCATATATATAGTTCGAATTACACAAAATTGCAAATTTTAGTATTTTTACAAAAAAGAGCTTCTTGCAAAATTTTAATCTAAACGCATTGTTCGATATATTCCCTGTTGATTTTAAAAAGTGATAGCAAACTTGCGTGAAAGCTTAGTTTTTAGATGCAAAATTTGTAAAAGCTCTCATTGTATTTCTAAATTAAAAAAAATCAACACATTTGTTATTCCCAACTAATGAACTATTATAAATGAACGCTGCCAAGATTCCGGACATCTAATTGATAGTAACATATTATATCTATCACGATCAGATTTTTCATGAGCCGAGTCAGATAAATAATAATAAACTAGAAATTCAAATATATCTATATAGTTTTTTATATACTTTAAAAATCTTTTGTATCAAGATTAAAAGACATTTGGACGTGCCTAACTATTATTAGTTTTCATGATATAACAATAATCTAGTTTTATATTTGCAACATACGATAGGTACCATCTTATCCACCCGGGTGACCCGCAGGCCTACTGCCGGATCATGGTTTTTCGGACGGGTTCAATCACTATATACAAAAAGAAAAATAAAAGAAAAAAATTAATAATCATACATGAGGAAAAGAATAATCTTGCTAAAATAAATCATCTTTTGAATATTAATGCATTATATATACTTTTATTGCTGCACTTTCTCTACGAAGTTCTTTTATCACCGCCTAAGTAATTTAAATCAATATTTTACAAAAATAATAAATCGAAGGAATAAAGAAAAAGTATAGTGAACTTACAGCTAACGCTTCAGGATTTACACCATTTTCGCACAAATTTAAACATAAAGAAAGTGTGTCGCGATCCAATCCCGTGTTAAGAATGGTAGAAATTTCGTGAAGAACTAGATAGTGATTGAAAAGTAAATTAGTAAAATAAAGATATCACAAGTAAAGAGATTAACAAAAGACATATAAACATACTATCCATAGTTTCTCTAGCTTCCTGGATTTTTGGGTCTTCCATTATTTATGTATAATAGAGAGTACGAAAATGTCAATAATCCAAATCCAGATCAACAAACAGGCTAAGAAATTTCGTTAGCCAATCAATTTTTGAGATCCAGTGTAACGTAAAAAAAACGTAACAAACTGCTCTTCTGCGTACTAACAAAAAGGTTTTCCTTGTGAAATTTTGATATGATTAAAGCATTTAACTCTACCTCTCTAACCATAATCTATTGATGCAACTTTTTTTAAAAAAGAGGATATCAGGACTACATCTCTAACTCTAAACAAATATTCAAGCCTGTCTATTATTATTAGAACTAGTGTCACTAAAATGAGATTCTGAACTATATATCATGTTCTAATTGGATGAAATCGACGATCCCTACTAGCAGTATTATACGTATCTCGATAACTAGGTACTTAATTAAAATCTTAATCTAAATTCAGAGAATTAAAATAAAAAATAGTTATCTCTCAAATAGAAACGTTGCCAGTGGGGATGTTAACAGCCCAACTTAGTCTATTTTTAGCCCAGTTCCGTCTGGTCTTTTTTGGTTTGATTACGGTTTGGTTCTAAGACGACTTACAAGACTACACCCGGTCTTTATAGTTAGAGTAGGGATCTTACCCGGGTCGAAAAATAGTGACCCGGGTTAATAAGTATAAATGCCAAGGCCAATAACTTTCATAACTTTTCAGATTTCATTTCATTTACCACATAGGAAACCGGAAAACTAAGTAACTGACCAATTTTTGACCCGTCAAGATTTTGAACATAATTTACCCGTTTTTCTCATCGCACAATTAAGCAAAAAAGGATAAAATCACATAGGTAGATTGTGATTGGTGAATAAGTGTATCGGGAATAAATTCCATAAAGGTCGGGTAACCCGTACGGGCCATTCGAGAACCCTAAGTTAGAGTTTCTAATTATAAAGACCGGCTTTAAACCAGTCTTTTTTATTATAAACTCAAACTCAATGGTCTAAACTTTCGGTCTGGGTTTATACTAAAAGACAGGTCTTTTATTATTAATTCAAACCCAATGGTCTAAACTTTCGGTCTGGACTTATAATAAATGACTGGTCTGAGACTGGTCTTTTATTATGAATTCAATTTATAATAAATGACCATCATCTTTATTATTTAATTCAACTCAATTTGTTTGAAATTAGTCTTAAATTTTTTTAGGCAGAGACTAGACCGAATAGGATCGGTTTTCTTAGGTTTAGACCGGTCCTATGACAGAACATGGTCTATTGGTCCAAGACCGGACTAGGGATAATATAAAAATAGGTTTAAATATTTTTCACCGGCTTAAAACAGGTGAAGATTAAAGTCCGAATAGTTAAGATTTAAACATATTTAGCATTTAGAGAAAGTGGTTTTTTTTTTTGAAACAATTTATTTTGGAAAATTAACGGTTCAAACTTCGGTTTGATTGCGTATAAAATAAAACCGATCAGATAAAACTAATCTAGAAAATCTAAGAAATTTACATGTATACGTACGTTTTTAGCAGTAGTCAAAAAGCATTTATCGTTATTTGTATACATAAGTTATCAACTAATCAGCATGCGAATGTAATCTATACGTATCCGTAGGCCAATTTTTATTTGTATATGAAATACGATCCTTGTTAAGCTTTTCATGAAGAGTATCTATATACAGATATATACATATATTAATGATATCTACTACGTGCTCGTTTACATGATATATATAACGCAGCATTGCGAATCAAAGCACCCCACAATTTTTCTTTTTGGCATGTATCGGTATGTAACATTTATAAACTTAATGTAAGTTTTGCCGAACTTTATTCCACTAAATAATTTTTTTTTTACGTACGTATAAATTTAAAATTTACTATATATATATATATATTATCCCTAATACGTACAATCAAGAGAACTCTGATATTTTCAGATTTGTTACTGCCATTGTGAAATATACATTGATGTAGTGTAATATAGTATTCGTAGGATAGAAGGACTTTTACCGATCAACGCTGTTTACCGAAATAAATAATTTAAAGAACCGTAATCTATGCCTAGTTGAAGTTGTGTGAAACAATCATTGAATGCCGAAAATTTCAAATGGGCATTTAGAATGTATGAATGAGGTAAAATACATATCTTTCCGGAAAACCCCGGACAATCCCAAACCCCAAAAAACATTAAATATATATATATATTACGTACAAATATAGTATATTAATGTTATTAAATATTAATATAGTTTTTTGAGATATTGCTAGAGTTAGGGGTTTGGGCATGAACCCCAAACTATAACGATAATGGTTTAGGGCAGTAAGTATTGTTTCAATATACTGATATAAATTACAATAAAAAATTTACAATGACTGCACCACTAAAGTAATCTCGTAGTGATAGTTATAATGCGTCACTAAAGTAATCTCGTAGTGATAGTTATATTCATCTAATGTATTACTTGCGCTACAGACAGACAGAAAAAATTTCTAATGTAGATTAATAAATCAGTACAGTACTATGAAAGTTGAATCCACGTTTAGTGAATTACCTCATTTTGACAATATCACTACTATTGGTAAAATTGGTGAAACTAATTTAACCAGCATCTCTAGTTAACGACACTAGAAAATTATAGAAAATAAATATAAATTGTACCTAAGGATGAAATATCAGAATTGAGAACATACTGGTTCATTAAAGAAGTTTCGATTCGTCTTAGGGAAAATCGAATGATGTAGAAAATCGATTTTGATCAAAGTCACGAGACCTATCATCTTGTTATACGTACGTATCTGTTATTTCCATTATAAGAAATAAAAAAATTTCATATCAGATCAAAAAATAGGATTGTAAAACTTGTATCTTGGGAGTTGTTTGAAATATGATGCATTCCTTTAGTTAGCACGAAAAAATTACCATTAAATCGAGATCGAATGATTTTTGTATCATACGATTCGCTTTAATAAGGTGGTATATCACTAATCCGCCGTATTATCTTTTCTAAGAGCCAAATATTAAATATTATTGGCTAGCTGCAAAGTTGTTATTACATGTACTAAGTTGTTATAAATTTGCAATATATTTTTTTCCTATACTGTATAATTTAGATAATTTAGAAATATATACTATACTGCTGACAAAAAAATAAAAATAAATTTTATGGATATTTTTGATTCCCTTAGCTACAAGTCGATAGCGCGTTTTGATGTTGATCAATTTACTATTACAGTATCTATTATTGAGTTTACGTCGCTGCATGATAATTTTTCTCAAATGAATTTTATCAATTAGTCAGAGTTAGTCAACGATAAAAAAAAAATTATGTAATAATGTGTTATTATCATCATTGTATTGTAAATGAGTCTTGATGTTTCTGGCAATTTCGACAAAATTTCACATGAAAATCTATATATATAATAGGAAAAAATCTCAAGCAAAAAAACTCAAGTAAAAAAGCATTCTCAAGCAAAAAAACAAAAATCAAAATGTCTCTCATAAGCCGTATTTTTCCATCACTCGCACAAGATTTTAATCGTTCACTTTTTGAACTTGAACCATTTTTCTTGCAATCCTCACGCGCTGCAAGATTTCCTAATTTTCCTACTGCCTCCTCGGTTTTAAACGGTTATATTCATCCGTCTGTTGATGTTTCTGAAACTGATAAAAATTACATCATAGAAGCCGAGGTCCCTGGCATGAAAAAAAGATGATCTTTCGGTTGAATTTGTTGATAATACTTTGACTTTAAAAGGAAAGATTGAAAAATCTAATGTTCGTGGCGACGATCAATTAAGAACTGTTGATACGACGCAGTCTGGTGAAACAAAAGCTGCTACGACTAGTGAAGTAGTCGAAAGTGGTCGAGAAGGGACATCCATCGCAGAACCTACGTATTGGACTAGTGAAAGAGTTTTAGGAAGCTTTCAACGTTCTTTTACACTTCCTAATAATGCTGATAAAGAAAATGTTAAAGCTCAATATAAAGATGGAATTTTATCTATTCTTATTCCTAAAGTCGAACGTCAAAGTCAAAAGATTACTATTGAATAATATCTTATTCTGATGGATTATTTTAAGAACAATATTTTTCCCACGTACATATATTATATATCATATAATATATATGCAAATGTAAATTGTATGAACTTTCTTCTTCATAATTAATAAATAAAAATTGCTGAATTAACATTAGCGTTCAATAATTTTCACGTGATTTAATAATACAAAATTTTATTATTATTATTATTATTATCTGTTATTGTTACGTACTCCATGTGGCAATTCTGCTTACTAAGAATTTCTACGTATATATTTAAACTTAACAAATTGGTGTTAAATTAGTATTTTGCATATTTAAGAGAGCTAATATTATTAGATTATATAAAAAGAAATCAGGTGACGGTTTTCAACACGTGAACCTATGTCTCAAGACCTGGAGTCACAATTGTGCCGCTGAAAATTAACTTTTTCTGATAAGAGAACAAATTAAGTTCGAGTCTTCGATTTTTTTCTTTTTTTTTTATATAATTGTATTGTTAAAGATGACTTCAATGCCGCCACCTATGGCAAACGGTACACTTGATTCAGCAGAAACGAATGGAAAGAATTTTTGGGCACATAAAGCGATCCTAGAGCGAGCAAGTATTTGCTTTTCTCACTTTATAAAGAATCTATAGTTTTGTCTAATTCTTTTCACTTTTTATTCACTCAGAAGTATCAAAAATTTCTCGACGAAGTAACACCATATGTGGCTTATAGATGGATTGCCACTGCGGTTCTATCATTATTATTTATGATCCGCATTATTTCACTACAAGGCTTCTATATAGTAACATACGTGCGTATAAATAGATCTCTGAAGGATAAAATTGATCATACTGCTTAACAAGACATTGATCTGTAGTATTTAATTATTAACCTATTGTTAATCATAGGCATTAGGAATTTATCTTCTTAATCTATTTCTTGCATTTTTGCAACCTAAATTTGATCCTTCGTTGGAATTGGACATTGCGGAAAGTGAAGTGGAAGAAGGTCCTTCGCTTCCTACAAAAGCTGAAGAAGAATTTCGACCATTTATTCGTCGATTGCCCGAATTTAAATTTTGGTAAAATTATCTATTATTATATTATTCTAATTTAACTAATTTAACTTTTAATCATTTTTACCTTAATTATTTTTTTTTTATGCTTGTAATATTTTAATTTGTTTAGGCATTCATCAACGAAAGCTGTTATCATCTCTTTAATCTGTACCTTCTTTTCAATGTTTGACATTCCAGTCTTTTGGCCAATACTACTTATCTATTTTTGCATTTTATTCGCCATTACCATGAAACGACAGATCAAACATATGATAAAATACAAGTAAATATCATTTACTTTTGTGATCAAATTTACTATGCGATTTATTTTTTCTCATGAAATCTTTCCTTTTTTTATAGATATATCCCATTTGATATCGGTAAAAAGCATTATAAAAAATAAATATTAGAGTAGGGGTCGGCTTTAATGTTTGTACATCACATGATACACATGATAGAGTATAACATTACTAAGACCATGGTACGAATGTTACGACCGGCTTAACGATGCATCTCCTTGCAGGTTAGATGAGATGTAAAGTTTATATGTTTTCATATATCCTTTATTGTTTTATATAGTATTTTCAATTAATTTTTGTACTTTGAAATCTTAGTATTTAGAATTTGTTTAATTACTTTGTTATTATAACAAAAAAAAAAATCTAATTATTGAAAATTTATTTATACTTTGTACTTTCTATTTAATATGTTTTGTTTGATATTATCAAATCGTGTGAGTTATTGATACTTTATGCAATCTAATTTTCTTATAATTGTGTAATGTATATAAATTATTTGAGGATTTTCAACTTTGTTCTCATGGCCACAACTATCCACAAGAACATGTCATACGACAACTAATAATAGTATATACTGCTTTCTTTTATCTACAATACATTAAGCAAGCTTAAATTTTTCGTACTTCGGATAATTGATTAGATTATTTTTATCAGAGTTTAATAAGTTTAATAACATAACAGTCTTAAAATATATTCCTGCCTCTTATCAGGATTAATTAACGTTTAATTTTCTTTGAAAAAAGTCCCCAATTTGATATTATTTTTGGGCATTGTTGTTTAATATGACTTGCTCTTGGTGTTCTCCATTCGTCTAATCCGTCAATGATTCGTGCATAATACATACATGCCTCGCGAAAGAATTTGAGATACATACGTTCGTAAATTTTTTTCTTATTGAAAATACAGTAAATGTAAAACGTTAATTTTTAACATTAAACAATATATATATATCATAACAAAAAGATATAATACAAACCTCTATTCTAGATTCTTGTTGTTCTAAAAGAGTGTATACTTGGTTATATTGATGTTGTATTACGAAAGCTTCGGGTACTACCCATACTTCCGCTCCATTAAAATACATTTGTAACAAGCAAGCTGCCTTACTCTTCTCAAAAGTATCAAATCGTTCAGTACACCTGAACAATAATATGTGAGATCATAGAAATTATAATAAATTATTACCAAACTTTGTACTTTTATGATATACTTACCAAGGAATTTCTCTCCCTCGTTTCACAACAAAATTTGGCTGATAAATTGAATCATAACCAAATGATACATTATATAATACCATGTCGATCCATTTTTCATAATCTGTAGGTCCTTTATTTAATGGCCATCCTTTATCATATATCCCCATAATGTTAAGTTGAACAAGATGTATCAGTTCATCAACGGTATTTGGAAAATCATAATTATCAGCAAATTCAGTAAAGGAGAAAGCTGGTAAAACTAAAATATCATTTTCCATAAGCAATTTCTTGTGTTGTTTAAGATGATCTTTCGCCATTGGTGATGGCCATGTATCTTGAGCAAGGAAAAGTACAAATTCGGTTCGAGCAAAAAATCTTGCGATATTCAAATGAATATTAGAGAGTTTTGGAATTTTTGATATATTTAATCCTGCAACCACATGAATATCAACGTGACGTTTAATATTTAAATTTTCCTTATAAAGATTAGCGAATGTGTGAAGTACATTGATAATCTCTGGGTCGTCATTTCTCAAGTTCTCAGTTTGTAAGTGAAGAACAGCCGATATAGGTCCTAAATTACGTAAATTAAATAAATATTCATAAAAATATAAATTTTTAATTAATTAAATGATTAAATGTAGTAAATTACCTTGCCATGCTTTTGCTAATCTTACTAAATCATCATAATTATCCTGAGTGACAAAAGTAGTAACCGTTATATCATCTTCCTTTGGTGTCAACTCTGAGCGGAAATAAAAAGGAAAAATGTTATCTGGAGATAACTGAGAACTTGCGGAATGCAATTTTAAAAAACGATATTCATTAGGCATTTCTGATAACGGAGATGTGTTGTTTGTATCTAAAATTTAGGAAATAATTTAGGAAATAATTTAGAAAACAAAAAAAACTATTAAACTTGACAGTTTTCTCAAAGCATTATTAAAAAAGATATTTTTTAACTTACCATATGTTTTGTTTATAGGTAATATAGCTTTTCGAGATCTAAATCCTCTAGGATTAAGATGCTCGAAAAGATGTATAGAAGATAAAATGACAGAAAATGCAAGGTAACCAAACACAAGTGGCCAAATTATTATTTTAAAAATCCTTGCAAGGTTTCTAAAGGTAGGCCGTCGTAGTGTGCCATAGACAGGTAATATAGGTGACTTTTTGAGCATTGGTAATGTGAAGGAAAGAAATTTTGTGCTTGAATACCATGTGATAATTTAAGCATTAGCCAATTGTTATTAATAATTGCTATTATAGGCATGATTGGGCTAATTTCCGAATTAAACACACATAATATCGATGTGTATAAAAATTATTCTTGGCATTAGAGTAGTTTTATCGTTATATTCTTTACCGAGCTTTTTTTTTCTTTTTTTAATTTGTAAAATTAAGTTACTAAAACAAAAATAAAACCGGTTCAGTTGCTATATTCAGTGTAGATCTTTATTATTTTCTCGTATCATAGACACAAATTTTCTATATCGATAAATTTATAAAACAGAATAAATTTATACGTATATATATGGTATATTTATTGTACAGTACGGTACGGTACGTTGATTTATTATACGGATAAATTTTTTTTGCGTTAGGGTTAGATTGGATTTTTGAGTAAGTTCTTGGCAAGGAAATTTTTTTATACATAAATGTTACTTTATTTTTTGTGCATTTGCACAGCGTATTGTTAATTTTGTGCAAATAACAATACGTGCACAACGAATTTTTACAGTAAGATTGGACAAACGTTCAATTCAATATCCAATTAAATTCTTTGGACACTACATAATGAAAAAAATTCCGATTGGGGGTGTCAATAGAAACCAAGTTTTTTTTTAATTTTTAAAATTAAAATGTCTCAATAAATACTATCTTAAAAACTAGACTAAAAACTATATTTGATGCAAATGTTCAGTGCCTTAAAAAAAAACCTACATTAGCTTTTAATTATTTTAATTTTAAATCTTAAACCAAAAATTTATAATAAAAATTATAGATGGTTAAAATTTATAATTATAAGCACAAAGGCAAATTAGTTAAAATAAAGAATTGTACGTATGTGTTGTGAATTCATAGCACAGGATCAGGATCGGTGATCGATTACTTGGATATTTTGGTAATACAGTGTTTTGTGCCTGTATTAAGTGGAAATACTCCAGTCGTCGTAATTCGGTTTGATTAGTTAACTAATCGATTTAAAAAACTTTAATGAGTTCAATTTATTAATAATAAATATTACATTTATCTCACTTTACATGTATTTATTCTTTAAAGTATATATAATAAATTCTTTCGCGTGTTTTATTAGCTTATAAGCTTCTGTTTTTTCTAGTAGCACAATAGTATTAATTTTTAAAATTATGTATATATGTAATTATGAACGTTTTTCATATCCACTGTAAATTAAATTTTTTTTAAACTTTGAGTCAACAACTAGGTCAACTTCGATGACCAATTATTTTAATTTGAATATTACGAATCAATCCATAGAACTTAAATAAAAAAATCATCGAATTTGACCTGGTGGTTTATCGAAATATCTTTGCTCAAAATTTTACGTCTATCAAATAGAAGATGCGCCGAAATTTTTTCTCAACTTTAATCGAAGGTACAGTATCTCAACAACCACCACCAAATTTGACGAATTTTCTATTTAAATTCTACGATTCTATAGATTTCAAATAAAAAAAAGTTCATCAAATTTGGCTTGATAATTGCAAAGATATCTTCAAAGTTTGAGAAAAATTTCGGCAGCTATATTAATAAACGTTAAAACTTTGAACAAAGGGTATCTCGGCAACCACTAGGCCAAATCCGATGAGTTCTTTCTTTTGAATTCTAAAGGTTCATAGAATTCAGATAAAAAAGTTTATTGAATTTGGCCATGTAGTTATCGAGAAACCTTCGCTCAAAGTTTGAGAAAAATTTCAGCACAGCCCTTATTTTGATTTGAGTTTTTTAAAACTTTGAGAGAAGGTATCTCGACAACCACTAATCTAGATTCGATGAATTTTTTTTATTTGAATTTTACAAATTCGTAGAATTAAATAATAAAAAAAAGTTAATTGAAGTTGACCGGGTGGTTGTCGCGATACCATTTAATTTACAGGGTATGAATATCAAACATGATGATTATCTACTGAAATGTCAAATCTTTACAAGAAAGTATATCGTTAAAATAGATACACACCCCACATCTAAGGACAATGTGTTTGTTCCATTGGATTTTATATTATTGCATTCATCTCCAGCTAGGGTGGTCGGTAAGCTGGCGAGATTCTTGCCACTACTGTATTTGATGAGCTAAAAAAAAGCTCGCCTCACCAGTTTGTCAACCACCCCAATTACCAATACAGTATATGGCGCTCTTGAAGGACGACTTGCTGTTACTCTTTATCCTCTTTTGTAAAAATTTAATTTAGAACACCTTTCTTTCAAACCCCTTCCTTTCTCTATTTAACTCCAACTTTTCTTTCTTCTCGTTCATGCTCGTTATTAACTTTTTTTGGTGCTGTAGCTACAGCCTATAGATGGGTAAAATTAAATTTTAATTTTATGATATTTCAATAGTTGAAACCGAAATTATTTTTAATAGCTAAAATTAATCCGGTGAAATTAATTCAACTGTTGAAACTAATTTAACTGTCGAAATTAATTTAATTGTCAAAATAAAATATTATTAATTGATAAATTTAAAGTAATTAGTTATGACATATCTCATCTATATTTGCATGAAAGGAAGTTAGAATAGATTATGCTATATCGTATTGTATTATTGTATGCCAACCATGTAATTCTCAAATTTTTATTATAATTTATAGCAAAACAGGTAGAGCTTTGTATTAGTGATGATGAGAAATTATTTGGTACAAATTTCTTAGATTTTTATACACTTCAGGTTATGTATAAAATTTTATTATTTCAATCTTCTTTATCACAATTACATAGCTAAATTCTTGTCTTATTTTTTTTTGGTTAATTCGTTTTATTTCTAATTAACTATTCTATATTCTTTCATTACAACGCATTCTATTTATCCATCACTAGTGTGATACGTATGTGATTGCATTAAAATTATCATGATTTCTATTGTAAAAAAATCTGTTACAGTACTTACTATGCTACGTATTTCAGTAACCACAATATGTGGTTAAGATGAGTTAGTTTGCGTGTTACTGTAAATAACTTCATACAAAACTTACTTGCTATTTCGGTGACTATAATACGTAGTTAAAATTAAGTTAGTTGTATTGGAATGAATTTTTAATATGAATTTTTAATATGAATTATGATAAAAAATTCCATTACGAAAATTACTTGCTATTCCAGTGATCATAATAATATATGGTTAAGTTTTGTTATGATTTACTATTGTAGAACTTACTCGCTATTCTGGTAACTACGATAGGTGTTTAAAGTGAGGCAGTTTGCATTTAAATTAATGTAATTTGTTCATGAGCTACTGAAAAAATTCTGTTAAAGGATTCTGAATAAGATGAGTTAAAGATTATTATAATTCTATTGCGAGCTACAGCAAACAAAATTCTGTTACGGAATTTACTCACTATTCTGGTGACCATAATATGCATTAAATTTGAGTTAGTTTGTATTGGAATTGTCATGATTTCTATTGTAAGCTTCTGTAAATAATTTTGTTAAAAACTTACTTGCTGTACCATTGATTAGTTTGACTATATTTAAAATAATATTATTAAATAGATAATATTATATTTAAGATTTAATAGCTATTTTTTCAATATATTTTATTTTAAAAATTAATTTTATCTATCTATATAATTTTGTATATAAATTTTTTTTTTTGTAAAATTCGGCAATCTTGCCAACACTTTATTAGGATAAAATATTAAACTCACAGATAAAATATCAACTATAACTCAAGTCATCTTAAGCCCACCTAAATTACAAGTGTTTACTAACTCGGTTGTTCTCAAGCAAATACCTATGTTCGATCTGCTATAGTAATATTTATCTTTATACCAAAAAACCCTGCAAGTAAATTCTTTGATATTTCACTGAATGGTATTTATGGTCTATCAAGACTGCCATCTTTTCTAAACCTTCTTCCTCTAGCTTCATGAGCAGAAGGATTCATAGTCTCCAACTAACTTATAAAAAAAATTAATACTAAAAAAATAAAGGGAACAACACGAAAGGGGAAAATAAAAAAAACTGCCTAAGCAACAAAAAAACAAAAAAAAATAAAACAAATAAAACAAGAAGAAAAAGGCAGAAAAAAAACAATCTATAAAAGCACTATTATAGCCCATGCCAGACACAAATTATAAAAATTATATATTAAATTTAAAAATCTTGTATATCTTTATTGTAAAGCTAAGCCTTATCATTAAAATTTCTTCTGACTTTACTATCTGGTCTGGGTCAGTTTGTTAACCAAAGCGTCGATTGGTTCGTTACGTGGTGTAGGTTATTATTGCCAAAACAATTCCATGTTTATATTCTACTTTGTCCATCCAAAAATGGAAGGTGTAAACAATGCTGATCTTTTGAAAGAAGTAAGCTGAAATGTCTACTTTTTGTCGATATTTTTGTGAGAGTAGCAGAAAGGTGGTGTAAAGGAAAAAAACCACTTGTACACAAAATAAAGAAGTATAAGTTTCTTCTACTAGAATCAAATAAAGCCACACTAAAACTTGCACACTACTAAGTTTTCTCGATGAGTGATAAACTCTGAGCTTGTCAGCAGATAGTGTATAAAAACTATCTTTAAACAACAAGTGTTGTGTCTGTCACTACAGTAAGTGATAAACTCTGAAAAAATTGACAAGATAGTATATGAGAACTATCTCTAAACAATAGTCTTATTACGTCTAGTATAGCTGTTTGTATTTTTTCCTAGTAAAAGTTTTTTGAAAATTTTTGGTACAAATGATTATCAGAAAGAGTTGTTCAATTTTGTATATAAATTAATTTTTACATTTTAACAAATTTCAATAGCTGAAATTTAATTTAATATTTATTTTTAAAAATTTTTTGATAAAATTATTTTAACAATTTTTACTGTAAAAATTATATAATTTTACTCTTATCTATAGGCTATAGCTAAAAAAACACCAGGATTTAGATTTGCTTAAAAAGATAATATTATAACAAAAAAACAACCAATACAATTTGGTGTTTAGATAATATAGCT